TTCTTCTTCTTCTTCTTCTTCTTCTTCTTCTTCTTCTTCTTCTTCTTTTTAAATATCCTCTAACCAATTTCTCTAATGTGAACAAGGTGAGAAGCATTTTAACTGTGTAGTTTTAATACCATTCACGCTCAGATCTTATCTAAAATGCTGCTTTGCCTTTCGGAGAGTGGGTTAATTGTTCTAGTCTCTCAGGCATGCTAGATGCTCCTGTTCTCTCAGAGGTGGGCTCCCAAGTTCCCAAAAGTTTTCTCTAAAAAGAAAATATGCCCTCTCCCATTTGTGGAGACACTTAAGAAAAACCTCAGAAAATGACACGGCAGAACATGGAAATGACATTTCTGCTCCAGTTGGGGCATTTTGCCTTTTAAACAGTCAGAAGTCATTCGGGAACCTGACCGAGAAGGCTATGGGGAGCCAAGCTGCATGGCTGCGAAGGCAGCTGAGATCCTGTGCAGCCTCGGGGTGACAGGGGATGTCACACTGTGTATTGTGTGAGGGACAAATTGTCAGGACAGTGTGCTGAAAGGAGGAAGTGGGGGAGAGGAGGGAAAGGTGCAAACAATTATTGCCTAATTTACTAATAGCCCTTTTCCTTCACAACGCTACCGTTTGGCTCAAGCCAGCCCTGTGGCTTGACTGCAGGGATAAACATTGTCTTCTTCAGTACTGAGGGTCAGACCCAGGACATCACGCATTCTAGGCAGGTATTCTAACACAAAACATATCACAGCCCATGCCGGTGACCCTCGTACCAGTCCTGCGCTCTGCTCACTACATGCTATGGGAACTAGGCTGAAAACGTAAAAACATACACACAGACAGAGACAGACAGACAGACGGGGCCACGGGCACATCTTTAAAACAAGAATGCCAAGAACGTCCCCTTTATTGTGCTCAGGGGCAGCCTATACAGGGCTCTGGCCACGCCCCAGCTCTGGGGATCTTCCAACTGTGGCCTCACCAGCCGCAGGCTGCCCAGAGCAGAGGAAGACAAACTTGTTTACAAGAAATCCGGGGTCTGGTGGTCCGCAGACTTCCACCAACCCTGGAGCTGCAGAGCTAGGGACTTGCAGAGCAGGGAACAGGAAGATTACTGGGGCTTGCTGGCCAGCTAATCTTGTCCAGTCAATGAGTGACTCTGTTTCAAATATATATATACATATATATATATATCTTCCTTTATGTATGTGTGTGTATTTATCATATAATATATATCCTTATATGTTACATACATATAATAAATATATAATATTTATTTATATATAAATATGTGTTTATTATATATGATATATAAGGATAATATATTTATTATAATATGATATATTTATTATATATAATATAAGGGTATATATTATATATAATAAATACACACACACACACACACACACACACATAAAGGAAGATACCTGACATCTGACATCAATCTGTTCTCTAGGTTAATGTATCCTCACATGCATATAAACAGAAGTACACACATGCAAACACACACACATACCATACACACATCCTACACAGATATATCACACACATGTACCACACACAAAAACCATACCCGCACACCACACATACATACACACACACATAAACCATACACACTACACACACATATACTGCGCGCACACACCACATGCCTACACATAAACCATACACACTGCATGCGCATACACTGCACACCACACCACACACACACACCCCATATATAAAGAAAAAGCCATAGATAAAGTTGTTGAAATTTTTCAATAGGCCATACAGTATTTGATCTATATTTCCTATTGTCGTAGCACTTGGAACATATCCAATCTTATCCATATAATATATCTATCACCTCCATTACTCTTCCAAATCCTCTCACCTAGGCACAGATACCATCATACAGAAAAGAAAACTAAGTCTGAACATTTAGGTAATGTTCCTAAGTTCCCATGGCCAACCATACAGTCAACTTTAAAATGTTAGCTTTTACTCCCTACATGCACTGAACAATGCATAAATTATTAGATTTCACAAGAAATATGTAATCGAGACTCCAAACAGTGATTTTGCTAATTGGTCTTCCACGATGTTTATGTTAGCCCAGAACTGCATATAGAAAAATGGATTGGCAGATTAGCTTTGTTTGAAGCAAATTACACAGCAGTCACTAAAACATGTGAAGACTGCTGGCTGCCTCACAAATAATCATTTTCCATTCCCCTTTACGATGACAGAACTGTTTTAATCCTACTACACTGCCTTCCAGCCAGAGGCCACACCTCACAGCCATGCTTGTAGCTGTGTTCAGTCATGTGACTAAGGTCCACTCCATGCATCTTAAGTTAAAGCACAATGGTGCTCATGGGAAGTCTCTATCGTCTCTTCTATCCCGTCCCTTGAGGTGAGAGCATACCAGCCTGTGCTCCCCAAGTACACTCGGAAGAGAAACAGATGGAAGAGTCCAGAACCTCTGACAATCATGAAGGCACCATAATAGTCTTGAGTTTTCTTAAACAATGTAGTTGCAGGTGAGAAATGATCAATTATTTATGCAGTCTTGGAATCTCATCTTACTTGTCATGGAGGTTCCTTCAAATGTATTCATACACCTAGAGACCATTCATAAACCTGGTGCTATATGATTTTCTTTAGACTTGGAAGATGGGGGTCCTGGTATGGTCGTCTTTCTGTACTTAGGGAATTTGTTTCAAGACATTCTCTTTTCCAAACCCTCTCTCTACCATATGGACAACACACACAGTTTCTTCACAAAAAGTGATGGAGTATATAAATATAACTTAGGTACTGATGTGGGACAATGGTCTGTATTCTGTCAATTATATTTTAAATAAAGACTGATTGGCCAGTAGCCAGGCAGGAAGTATCATTAAGAAAGTATCCTCTGTGAGTTGTGTGATTCCGGGTTATAAAAGAAACAACAAGATAGGAAGTAGAGGCAGGTCAATGAGAACAGGAGAATTCTGGGAAGAGGATGCAGTCCTGGCCCAGTCAAAGAAGAATTAAGATGTGACTGCCTCGCTGAAAAAGATACTGAGCCATGTGGGCTAATATAAATTAGAAGAGTTAATAAGAAGCCTGAGCTAATGGGCCAATCAGTTTATGATTAATGTAGACCTTTGTGTGATTTCTTTGGGACTTAATGATTGCAGGAACCGGGCAGGACAGAAAACCTCAGTCAACAATGTACTACTTTCCATACACTTTAAACCATGTCTAAATTACTGTAATACTTAAGAAAAATCAAAACTGGCCACTATATTGTGTTGTTTAGGGACCAATGATAGGTGAGCAATATTCAGAAAAAAGGCCAAATATTTTCCTTCCACTGTTGATTGAGTCAGTGGATGTGGAGGGAGGGAAGACTATGTTTATTTTTAAAATGTCATAAACAGAACCTGGAGAGATGGCTCAGTCAGTAAAGTGCTCACTGCAGAAGCCTAAGGAGTTGAATTAGGATCCCTGGCCCCCAGGTAGAAAGCCAGACATGACGTGTACCTGTAATTCCAGCACTGCTTAGGGCAGAGACAGGCAGATCGCTGGCTTCGGCTATCCAGTCTAGCCAATCAGTGAGCTCTGGATTCAGACGGTGTGCTGGTTAGTTCTTGTCAAGTTGGTACAAGCTATAGACATCAGGAAGACGGAATCTCAGCTGAGGAACTGTCTCTATCAGATGACTCTGTGAACGTGTCTAGAAGGCATTTTCTTGCCGCATGATTGATGTGGGAAGACTCAGTCCTCTGTGAGTTGTGTGATTCCGGGTTATAAAAGAAAGCAAGTTGAGGGGGCCGTAGGGATGACTCTTTTAGAAGTCCAGGATTCAAGGCCTAGCACCTACGTGACAGCGCACGAATACCTGTAACTCCAGTTCCAGGAAATAGAACTTTCTCTTCTGGCCTTCGTGGACTCCAGACGTACACATGGTACACAAACTTACACGTAAGCCAGAAACTCATGCGCATAAAATAATGAAATTTAAAAAAGAAAGAAAGCCAAGTAGGCCATTAAACATTGTTCCTTCATGGTTTCTGTTCCAGATCCCACTCCGGGTCCTTGCCTTGATCCTTACAGTGGCTTCCTTTAATGATAGACTGTAAAGTGCAAGATGAAGCTAACCCTTTCTTCCCGAGTTGGTCTTGGTCAGTATCTTGTCATAGCAACAGAAACGCTAAGTAAAGCTGAACGAGGTATCAGAAAGAGGCGTGTGATTGTAACGGCTCTGTACTGCTCTAGAGAAGATTAACAGAAGCATTGTGGACTTTGGGCTGAGAAAGCCATTGAGCACTTAAGGTTTAAAAGATTGTTTCACGAGAACTTGGAAGTCAGCGCTGAGAGCAGTGCGGACGATGGAAGCTTGGCCTGTGACGCTCCCGAAGGAAGCAAAGACAATCAGGGCTGTTGATGTGATAGACCGGCTGAGAATCTATAAAGGGGGAAATCCGTGCTTTCCTGGGACAATGGATGCGGGCTAGCTGGAACTGGAAAAACATCTCAGCTGTAGTTAATAAGCGACCAGCATCACGGAGACAAAATCTTCTGGGAAGTATTTTCTCAGGGTCAGTGCTGTGCTTCCATGGGGCCAAGGCTGGAGCTTGACCTGGCAGCTGAACTTGGTGGCCTGGACGAGTCTTCCACATGATATTTAATTTGAAGGCGTGAAGGGGAGAGTCGGAGTCCCCGAAGAGGCCAAGGAAGGCCACTGGTGAAGGTGCAGCCTACGTTGCAGTGGGGATTCCAACATTTTCGACATTCCAAGCCCGTGGAGTGACCGAGTGACCGCCAAGGACAGCAGAAGCCCAGAGTAGAGCTGAGCCTACAAGCCGTGTGCTGCGTGGGGGTGGCAGGTTCAGAGATGTGGAATGTCGTCTACACCTTTAGATACTCAGAGGCTCCTGCGTGAGTCCCAGATGCCAGACACTGCTGGACTTCGATTTTCTTCAAATGTGATTGTTTTTAGATCGCTGTTTTTCCCTTTAGACTAAGAAGGTATTTAAGTTGTTGTTGTTGGGTTTTGTTTTTTTTTAAATTTCACAGGAACTCACAGTTACAAGACTTTGGATATTTTTAAAAGACTTTGAACTTTAAAAGTGTTTGAATGTTTAAAAATACTGTGGGGCCTTCAAAGTGATACAATGTTTTGTATGTGGCAGTAGGATGCAGTGTTGGGATAAACAAGGAAAGGTTGTGGTTCAGTGTGGATGTGTTTGTGTGATCGGCTAGCAAAGGGATCAGCCACGCTGGTTACTTTTGTAAACTTGACCCAGACGGGAGTCAGCTGGGAAGACAGAGTCTCAGACTGACCCATCGACATGTCTACAGGGCACGTTTTTTGATTCATGATTGATGCGGGAAGGCCCAGCCTACTGTGGGCAGTAGCACTTCTGTGCAGGTGGTCCTGGGTTGTATAAGAAAGCAGGCAGAGAAGGCCTTGGACAGAAAGAGAGTAAAAAGTGTTCCTCTGCGGTCTTAGCACCCACATTCTGCCGTGAGCTCCAGTCCTGGCGTTCTTTGATGATGGATAAAAAGTGCATTCTGAAACGGACCCTTTCTTCCTCCCCAAACTGGTTGCGGCCAGGGTTTTCACACAGCAGCAGAAAGCAAACCAGAACAGATATTGTCTTATAAAAGTAAGGTAGAGGGGGCTGGAGAGATGGCTCAGCAATTAAGAGCATTGCCTGCTCTTCCAAAGGTCCTGAATTCAATTCCCAGCAACTACATGGTGGCTCACAACCATCTATAATAAGGTCTGGTGCCATCTTCTGGCCTGCAGGCATACATGTAGACAGAATATTGTATACATAATAAATAAATAAATAAATATTTTAAAAATAAACATTTAAAAAAAAAGTAAGGTAGAGAATGACTAAGGAATACAGCTGATGTTGCTCTTTGGCCTGCGTGTCATGTGCACACAAGCCCACGTACACATATGTGTAGTCACATGCATATTTACATAGGAACATGTGCGTGTACCCAGTAGTAAGGAAGCAGCTGACAAAGACCGTCGCCTTGGTTTTAATGTTAGCTCGCCACAAATTAGGAGCATCGGAGTTGGGCGACTCATCTAAAGACTCTTTCTGCTTGCTTTATTTGGTGTGGCAAGGCCCCACCGAGGTAGGGAGTGGCCCTTTCAGGCCACAGCCTCTGCCTGCCTGGGTTGTTGCCCACTCCTGGTACTGCTGTGTTTCTTTGCTGACAGCAGAATCAGTACTTTTCCGCTTCTGTCCTGGGGCAGGGAACAAAGGTTCTCCAGAGACTCTGGGCTTCTAGCTCCAGAATGGGACTACGGAGGCACCTTGTCCTGTGGGACCGAGTCACTGCCCGTTGTCGCCCCCTGTGTGAGGTAGGTAGTCTGGGACGGCTGTGACTGTTGAGGCTCCCAGCCTCAAGGACTGGTATTCTTTTGAGCCTAGGGCAGGGGTTTCATTGAGGCTAGTGAGGGGCTTCATAGAGGCTGGGGAGGGGCTTCATAGAGGCCAGGGGAGGGGCTACATTGGGGGTGGGGGAGGGGCTTCATAGAGGCTAAGGAGGGGCTTCATAGAGGCTGGTGGAGGGGCTTCATAGAGGCTAGGGAGGGGCTTCATAGAGGCTAAGGAGGGGCTTCATAGAAGCTAGGGGGAGGGGCTTCATAGAGGCTAGGGGGAGGGGCTTCATAGAGGCTAGGGAGAGGCTTCATAGAGACCAGGGGAGGGGCTTCATAGGGGCTAGGGAGGGGCTTCACAGAGGCTAGGGAGGGGCTTCACAGAGGCTAGGGGAGGGGCTTCATAAAGGCTAGGGGAGGGGCTTCATAAAGGCTAGGGAGGGGCTTCATAGAGGCTAGGGAGGGGCTTCATAGAGGCTGGGGAGGGGCTTCATAGAGGCTAGGGAGGGGCTTCATAGAACTTAAGTACAGGCTGTTGAAAGCCAGGCTTTGCCCACGAGAAGAACAAAGTAAACCCTCCTGGATCCTTTTCAATCTACCAGGGGTTTCCAAAGAGCTTCTTTACTCCCTTCTCCCCTAAGGAAAACGTTACTGATTTCAAAGACCAGAACCCTGCAAACAGTAAAGCTAAAATGCAAACCCTTGGCAGGTGTCAGCATGCATGGAAGGCCCTGCACGATCCTCCCAGTCAGAGATGGCTTAGTAATATGACTATAGTAGAGACCAACTCCTTCTGCTCACAAAGGAAGCCACTTCGCTTGGTCTTTGGGATGGTTGTCTCCATATCTCCAAAATAATATGTCCATACTGTCATCTTTACAGCATTGTTCATATTCTCGCGTTCTAATTGTTCTGGTTTTAGATCCCACTTGCTCATTGGAACAAAACGAAAAGAACAGCCTGTTCTCTGAACAACCTGCTCTATAGTTCTGGTTTCCTCTGCCTTTCCCAGGAAAACTCAACGCTTCTAGATATTTCTTTGCATTTATCTCCGCATTTCTAACTACTGCTCTGTTCTAGCTATGACTACAACTTCCTGCAATGGAAGACACAGACTTCATTTTCTCCTGCTCTCCCAATGTATTTGCGCCACAATGCTCTTCCCAAATTATCACCTGGCTCTAACATTTGATTAACTGAACATTTAATTAAGATCATGTAAATCCTGATCAAACTAAGATACATGTCATACTATTACTGTATTGCCTTTATGGTAGGCATTTTGATTTTTCTCTGCAATTAATAGCTGTGTCTCTGTATCTGTCCATGTTTCATTTTTCATGGACCTCTCGTGTTCAGTTTCTTCTCTGCCAGGAATGATAGTCTGATCCCTGCTCGCAGATTTGTGAGGCATTCTTTGTGTCCCATTTTTTTTCTCAGAGACATCGTTACCCGCCTGTACCCCTTTGTATCAATATGAACTTCTCACTCTCTAGGCTTGCAAAATTTCTTGCGCAAATCACCATCACAATGATCTACAGGTCCCATCTTCATCTCTAGTGAAATGGAGTCCCCCCCCCAAAAAAAAATTCCTGGGTCTTACGTCTTTCTTGTTTTTGCTTTTTCTTTCTCAGTTTTCTAGATCACACCCCGAGTAGTCTCCCATAAAAGGATGCACAAAAAGTGAAATTTCTGATTTCTTTTTGCCAGGAAGTCTCTTTATTTTGTTTTCATACTTTATTGATTCTTTGGCTGCATTTCTCTTTATGCATTACTTGTGTTTCAAATCTAGTACCGAAGTTGAAAAGTCTGATGCATTCTGACTCCTTTGAGCAGAAGACTCATTCTTGATCCGTTTTCCAGGGGCTTTGGCGTTATCTCCCTGTTTCTTAATGATGGGCTCAGGTGTGGGCACTTTGAAATCTGAAACGCTAAGTTCTTGCTAGGCACTTCCAGCTGGGAGGTGGTAGCCTCCAATTCTGAATGTGTCTCTAGGAACTTTGCAGTGGTCTTACTATCTCGTTGTCTGACACTTCTTCTTCTGGGGTTCCTTTTACTCTCAGACATTTCTCCAACTCAGATATTATACCTTCTGAATGGACTTTCCAAGTCTCAGATCTACTCATCCTTGGATTCTACTTTGACCAGCTTTCTTTAACTTTGTGTTCTAATCCTCCTTTTTTTTTTCAAAAAAAAAAAGCTTTCTTTGTGGATTTCACATCACGCAACATTATCCTGTTCAATCTCCCTGTCTCTGTATCATCCCTCTTTCCTTGCAACCTCCCCGCTCCCAAAAGAAAATTTAAAAGAAAATCAAAACCCACAACCAACCAAACAGACGAAGTCTCAACGTGGAAGCTGTAGTGTGTCACAATGAGTCACACAGTGAACCCTTCAGTCCTTACATCCTTACCGTAAGTACTCATTGCACTGAGTCACGGGCCTGGTTCGAGGCCCCCTGGCTTCCGTTACACTATCAATACTGGACCCTCACCGGGACTCCTCTTGGATATTCTGTTGTTGTTCTGTGTCATGGAGATGCTGCAGCTTTGCGGCTGCGGGTCCAGCCCCTTCACATGCTCCAGAAGTTCAAAGATGAGGTAGATATTGGGGGGGGGGGCAGCTCACCATCCTGGTTCTGGTCCTGGGTGGCAGCTGGGTTGGTCAGTCTGCCAGCTCTTCCTCATTGTTGCCATCAAGGTGAGCTCTCTGGCGTTGGCTGCTCTGGTTAGCTCACCCAGTACAACAGGCAGCTAGGAGCAGGACCAGTTCTCCTGGAATCATGCCACTTGCATCGGCTCATCGACACCGCCAGGACCAGGCGGTGGTCCGCTTTCCCAGAGCCGCAGTTGGTGAGGGGTAGGACCAGGTTTCCCCCTCTTAGGCTCCTGAGGCCAGTTAGTGCACTTGCCTGGGGGGGAGGGGGTCAAGGAGTAGGGCCGTCTTCCCCTCACCCACGCTACCACACAGCAGATGCGGTGCAGAGCAGGGTCGGCTCTCCTGCTCTAACGCCCTCAGGGCGAGATCACCTGCATGCCCACCAACAGGGCCAGCGTTAGTGTGCTGCCCAGGTAAGGGCCAGGGCCAGGAGAGGCAGGACAAGCCCTCCTGCTTGCTGCAGGTGCCAGGGGTGCCCTAAACCTCTTAATGATTTTTTTTGACGTATATATGTCGTTTTAGGGAGTCTTGTCCCTATTTTTCTTTTTTTCTGTTTTTAACATTATTTGTTAAATTTTTGCATGTGTACTTGTGTGCCTATGCCTTGGAATACACGTGTGCAGATCAGAGGACAATTGTGGGGATTGATTTTTTTTTTTATTTTCACCACCTTTCTGCTGGGAATTAAACTCAGAGCCCCATGGATGCCAGAGGGATGCTCTGCCTGAGCTACGCCCTCAACTCTTTTTCCTTAATTGGCCTTCAATCAGACCGCTCCATTTTTATTTTATAGATCGAAACTGAAGGGACTCTGGCTGGCGGGATCGCAGCGAGCTTGGCTCTGGCAGGCCTTACCCTTCTGCATTCCCTCTGCCTTGCTAAAAACCATTAGATTGCATTCCTCCGGCTGGCCACCGAGGTCTATTCTACCCTTATTTGGCTGCCCCTTCTCCTGAGGCTGACTGCA